GTTATTAGTAGCATTTACGCGTTACATATCGAAAAAGTTTCCCGGTTTGTGTAGGTATACACTTGTTCAAAGATCAAATGTATGATGATATTCATTAAGACGTATTGTTCGAATCTAATTAAGATTCCACACGGAAAGAACGGTTTTACTAAAGCATCTAAAAATTTAGCTAAATACAGATCTGTAAATATTGTTGAACTATCAAAACAATTATGCCGAACGCTCAAACTGATTGCTAAAATGTTAACATTTTTTTACATCATGTTCGATATTCTTACGTAATTATTTGGATTGTGAAATCATTTACAATTATTTTCAGATCTGTATCTAACTAAATTTTTAGATATACGTCAGCAAAGTCATTCTACCAAAGTGTACCAAATATAGCGGTTGTCAGAAAAGCAATTTAGTTGTTAACTTTTGCTCAAATAAATTTTCTTATATACTGGACCTATTTCAGGTCCAGTTTTTCATTTTCTGATTAACTTGTGGTTAGACTTAACCTGATGTTTTACCCAACGGACTTCATCTATGATGGTGTCAAGGGTGAGGCCCATTGGGTGAAATATTAAGTTAATTTAACTGCAAGTTTATGAAATAATGAAAAATTGGATCTCAAAATGATAATAAACCGTCGCAATTCGTCAAATCGCGTGACATTACGTCTTGAGTTACCCATACAGTGTAGACCTCCAAGGGACGTCTATAAAATGTCTCCGTATCCTCCATTCTAAGGACGTTTCCAAACTGTCTCTTGGATAAAATGTGCTGTGTTATAGTTACAATGGAGTCGAATTCTTCCTAAATTCAATACGAGATATCTACAAAAATAAATTTTCAAGTTTCCGGATCTCAAATCCATTCAATTCGTCGAAACGTGCGACGCATTGTTAGCGTTAATTACAGAAAGAAGGAATGTGGACCCGTTTGCATGGCACGTACCGGTTACATCCTCATGTATATGTATACAGGGTGTTCGTAACGATTGGGACCAAAAACCTGTACAGTGTGTTAATGAAGTCGAGTAGATTGAAGTCGGGGAACCTGCATTCTTTCAGGAAGAAGAATTTTCGAGCATTTATTATTATTTTATTATTATTCGGATAATAAGTGATATTAGTTATTACAAGAGTTACAATAAATATTCGAAAATTCTTCCTTTCGAAAGAATGTGCAGGCTTCCATTTGCCAAATTAATGTTGAATTTTTTCGAATATCCCTACTGTATTAAAAATAGTAGTAAATATACATGTATACACACACATTCTGCTTGTAAATCCTTGAACGTTTATAATTTTTTAATAAAACATTTTTAGACAAAGTTTATATACTTTTTTTCATGTTTGGTCCTCGATCTTTATGGACATCTGTGTATACATAATTGTTTATACAAATTTTTTGAGAATTTTATTTATTAAAATGAAGTAATAAACAGGCAATAACATCGAGGAAGATACAAATTGTATGGAAACGCTTCTTTATTAGAAACTATAATTAAATATATTGTTTGCTATTATTTAGAGAGCAATGGAGTATAAAATGATCTCGCTGTTCCAAATTACTATTATCTGCATCTGTCTCTTCCTATTAATAATTATCTGCACTAACCGCCATGAGTGCCATTATTGACACAACTATATTTCTCATATTGCATAGACTCGCAACGTATGTTAAGCAGCTATAGCGTATGAGAATTATAGGTATATAACTATTATTCATACGCATCTTGAAATTGATCGATATATGCTCGATTGTTTTCTGTTTATATCAATTTCAAGGAATTGATTAATGATGTGGTAACGATACTTACATAAATAAATGGCAATTACAAAATTGTTTCATTTCATATATATTTTTATCTCAATTAGAATAGAAGTTGCAGAATAATTTAAATTGTTTTGATAATTTATATTGATAAAGGCTAATTATATTAAATAGAATCACGACTTTGTGTACGCGCATATATTTGAACACATTTGCATTCTATTTAAATTTTTTATCTAATACAGAGTATCCTAAAACTATGAGATTTTATTGTAGTAGCATTATTATTGTGTAGTTTCGTTGATAATAATTTGGCTGTAGTAGTAGATGGACTTTCGAATTAAGTTTCAGAAGAGAGTAAATTATATTCAATATCCTATTCCTCAGTTAATTTAAAATAATAAAATAAAATAAACTTCATAATAGAATTTTAAGATTATAGAGAATTAGAAAAAAAATAGTAAATCAATAAAAATGACGCGTCCATTAACAATTTACGTTTCCTACTACGGAGAAATTGTCTTCAAACGTTAGGAACCAACTGTAATAAGGAAATATATCTGATAATTTTCTCTAAGTTATAATTATATACATCACGGAAGAAAATTTGATTGAATTAACTGGAATTTTTGTGAAAAATAAACGCTCTAGAATTCTGGTTAAATTTACTAGGATTCTAATAGATTTAGCTAGAAAAGAAAGCTGAATGTTTATTTCAATTAGATTATTTTAACTAGAATTTTAATCGATTTATCCAAAATTCTCTGGATCGTTCATATTCCATTATACTCCGCAGTTAATTCAGCCAAACATTTTTCTCCGTAACTCGATACTATAACAATAACTGACGATTTATAATCTCGAGGGGAATAGATTTTCGTCTAGTAAAACTTCTCTGCATTGTGTACTTACAGACGATTATTGCCTTAGTTTTATCAGGTTAAGTCAGACCGTACTAATCGATTATCCCTGAAGGCTCCCATCGTTCAACATTGAAAGTACCGTCCGTCCAATGCCAAAATTGTATTAGAACAGTCTTGGCAACGATCGACAAGCAAGGATCGGCGTATCATACCGGTTACAGAGACGAACGGAAGGCCGCTGCTTAAAAGCGTGGGCGACGCAGTAGTGAGCGCACCAGATCGGTGGGCGGCTACCAGATCGCCCAATTGGTCGATCGACTCGGTAATGGTTGGTGGGCGTTGGGTAAGCTCAGATGCGCGGCCAGCAGTGCGCACTTGGCTGGCTTTAACGGCTCTCTTTCTCTCTCTCTCTCTCTCTCCTTCGCTCCTTTCTTCCTATACATCCCCATGACGTTCGTTCCCCACCTGGTCTGTATATCGCATCGACTAGGTCTCGATAGGGGTCTTCTCTGACCCCTCCCGCCCCCTCTTTCCCCTCTCCCCTCCTGTTTGGTATCTACCACTCCGCGTCTACCCTTTTGCGATCGGACCTGTGTGTAATCGGCAGCTTCTGCTGATTTTAAAAGTTCGAACCGCGGCCGCTTTCTTTCCCCCATATTCACCTCTTTCATCGGCACGGCTACCGCCGCCACCGCCACCGCTACCACGGCGCGCCTTAAATCTTGATCTCTTCTTCTCGGCGGGTAGAAGCAGAAGAACGGTGTCTTTTACGGGAAGAGTATAAGGTGGGGGTAAGGCTAGTCTGGGCGCGCTTCGAGTGGAGCGCGCGGCGGTAGGCAATCTGCTCGAATACGGCGGAGAGCGAGCAGGTTGCCCCGCGTAACGCACTCGCGTCTGGTCGTTCGAAGGTAGTGCGAAAGAAGGGTGGTTCCCCAGAAGAGAGAGAGAGCACCGCGCGCTGTCAAAGAGGGAAGCGAAGTATCGCGCGTGTATCGCTGCAGCAGCTGATAACGGGGAACCTTCTAAAGAGACGAATTGAAAAAAAAAACCCGCTTTTCGTTCCTCACGCTCGTGGACGCGAACAAGATAGCTTCGGCAAGTCGATCGCGTGACAAGAGAAATCGGTGCATCGGTGAGGAGCGGTAGAGCTGTCGTAGGGGCAGGAAATAAAAGAAGAAAAAAAATAATCATTTTCGTGCAACGAAGTTTATCTCTCTTTTACACTTACCTTTCTTTTTTTTTTTTTTACCTAGGGAGTGCGCGAGGAGATGAATCTGGTGATCTGTGTCGAAGGTAAAAAGGTGAACGGAGAAGGTGGTGTATGAGGGGAGAAATCGACCGCGTGTACGGAGCGACGGGGGCAAGTCACGTCACGTTAAATCTTGATCTCACCTCGGCGGAGTCCCTGGTCCCCCGCGAGGAGGGGGAAGGTCTGGGCGCGCTTCGAAAGCCCGAGCGGAAGGCAATCCGCTCGAATCCGGCGGAGCGCAAGCAAGCTACCCCGGTGCCGTAGTAGCCCTCGTTGCCTGTCATTGGAGAAGGGAGCCCTCGTAGGCGGAAGAAACGAGAGGGCGATCGACACGCGAGGAAGAGTACGGAGAGGGAAGAGGGCCAGGTGGAGGAGAAGAAAGAGGAGGAGGAGGAGGAGGAGAAGGAGGAGAACGTGGTCACGAGCTTCGTCGAAGGCGCCTGCGCTCCAGTACTCCGCGCCTTCTGTTCCTCAGCTTCGACTAGGCTCACCGCTCAACTCAAGTGTCGCGACGGCGTAAAAGCTCGCGTCGCGATGCGTCGTGATCGTCATCGCGCGATTGTACTAGTTATTCCGCTCTGCCAATCGGTTCCGTAGCGATTTGTTTGTCATTTCGCGCCCGTGTTTGTGCTATCAGAAGGATAGTGGCTGACGGTGGTATATACACGTGACAGTTTCGGTGGACAGTTTTGAATGAAGATAAGTTGAAGTTTTTTTTCGAAAGCAAATGGTAACTGCAGAATAATCGGCGAATAAGAACGGGAATGCGTTGAATTTGTATCGGACTCTGTCGATGTGCATTCAGACAGAGATACAACGACAACGGGAGGAATATTCGAATATTTTTGACGATGGGGAAATCGATAAACGATCCTATTAATCATTTCTATGGTATGTCGTTCGTACAGGTCGAAAAATGCTCGTTCAGCGATATTGCTCAACGTACAAGAGAATATTCTTAAGCGCTGCAACGCTCCGACTGAGAGTAATGCCAGATGATACGTTAACCTGGAGATACTTGTCAATAGTCTGAGAATCGCGATTAGCGCGTAGAAAAAAAAGTCTCGTTGAATGCGAGAAACGGAAGTGGTTTCAAAGACAGACGTGGTATATTCGCAGAAGTGGAGGAAGAACGGCAGAGGGAGGTGCCGTTGCTGAGCGTGGAGGGGCGGCGGAGGTGAGATCGTCTGGTGATGATGATCGGTGGCGGTGTTGCGACCCCTCCTGGTACTGCCAAGTCGGCGGCTGCGATCGACAGCGAAATGGTACAGGTCGACGGCATTGGCAGTGGTAGTGTCAGTGGCAGTGCTAGTGGTAGTGGTAGCCCAGCAACGGGTGCAATTACCACGCGCCTCACGAACAATGGCAGTAGCGGTACCAATAATAATAACAACAACAACAATAATAACGGGGAGATTAGCAACAATAATGACG